GGAAGCACTGGTAAGCCAATTTCTTTTCTCTTCCTCTGGTCTTTATGTCTGTCTGTCTGCCTACCTTTCTTTTTTATTGATATGAATCAACCCTCACCGTGTCCCTGCCGTTCTCTTCATTCAAATAAAACCAAAAGTATACCTTTATAAATGATATATTTTCGTATTATGCTATTTTTATGCTGGTGTTTTACGCCCCACAACGACTCAATTTAGATCCTTCAAGAGGCGGGTTTCTAGCCCTCCCTGTCAAAGCCAAAAGGGGCTAATAAAGATACAGCAAACAAGCAGAAAGATCCAGATACTCAATGGAATTGTTCCCCACTTGGGAATCGAACTCGAGTCTCCTGCTTGCGACAGCGAGGAGCCTAACTGCTGCACCAAAGACGCCAGTATATATATATATATATATAATATTATGCTATGATTCTTAAAAACTTATAAGATGGTAATACAGTGCCCTCTCGATGCCAGTTCAATGCTAAAGAGAGGATTTTTTAAAAAAAACGTTTTTTAAAATTTTTTAAATTTACGTCTGCTCAATAAAACAGTGTAACGAGTCGTGTAAGCCAAACAAGCCTTCTTAAGGGGAAGTAATAAAAAAAATAAATAACAACCGTCAAGTTCCCTGGTTTTCTCCCCTCTACAGTGATGTCTCTAAGCTCCTGATTTTGATTTTATTCTTCTCTATTTTATTGATCTAGACTCTATTTATTTCTATTTTAATTGTATGTCATTTTTCTTCTTTTTTCGGATTAAAGGTGTGTATGTCTCGGTGTGTGTGTTTCTCCTTCTCTCTCTCTCTCTCTCTCTCTCTCTCTCTCTCTCTCTCTCTCTCTCTCTCACTCTCTCTCTCTCTCTGTGCGTTTGTGTGTGTGTGTGTGTGTGTGTGTGGTTGTATAGCATTCTTGAACGGGTGTGGCCAAAAGTAGGCCTCTTTGTTAGAGCAAATCGAGAGAGAGAGAGAGAGAGAGAGAGAGAGAGATGTGTGTGTGTGTGTGTGTGTGTATGTGTGTACGTATGTGTGTGTGTGTGTGTGGGGGGGGGTGCACAAATTGAACACGAATACATTTAATATTAGCAACAACAACAACAGAAACATAATGTTAACATCCTAATGTATTTTTGCCAGACTTAAAACTGAGTTAACATATAAACAATTTTATTGATTTGGAAGAGTTTTTCTTGCTTTGTTTTGTGTTTATCTAGTTTTTTTTCGGAGAGGAAGGGGGGGGGTGGGGTCATTAGTTTTCTCTTCTAACACCCAGCCATCAGGCCAGTATTTTTTGCAGTTTTACTCCGCAGTCGTCCGAGTGAGGGATGGGGGTATTGTTGTGATTAGGTGTAAGTTTGTGAGTGTGTGTGAGTGTGTGTGTGTGTGTGTGTGTGTGTGTGTGTGTGTGTGTGTGTGTGTGTGTGTGAGTGTGTGCTTGTTTATATGTTTGCTTATTATTTGTTTGTTGTTTTATGGGAGCGGGGTGGGGGTAGATTGGTGGTTCGTTGTTGAGTATCGACGTTTGTTTTCCTTGAGTTCTGGCCCCCCACAGCACAGGATTGCAATGCCAGATATTAATGGACTTTTCATAAATATTCCTCTGTTTAAGTTCCCGTTGAATGCTTTCAGATACAAATGATATTGTTCGTCAGAACTGACATCACTTTTGCGACACACATAAATAACAAATAGGAGACACAACTAAAAGCATTATATCAAATAATTTGTTTATTCCATTCATCAAAAATACAAGAACAGAAAACGAAATATTATTTTCTCAGTCTCACAACACTGATGGCAAATATATTACAAGTTTTGACTTCATATTTAATAACATCGCTTTGGAAATAATGACTGTAAATATTATAGCAATCGAGATGTACTAGTTCAATCCAAGTACTGACACTAGATGAGATGGAATTAGTGGTAATCAGATGGAACATGCTGCTGCTATGGTGGTGACGTTGCATGATACAGAAAGAACGAGACAGACCAGGATAATGTTACTGCTGTTGATGCATACTTACAGGCGCCATAAGTAGTTTCTTTTTTAATTTTTTTTTTTACTGCCCCTGTCTAATTGAAGTCATTTTGACTTGCTTTTTCTTTGTTTGTTTGTTAGTTAGTTTTGTTTTTATCTTTCTATTCTTATTCAGGTTTTTCTATAATTCAAACTCAGATGATTTCGGCGGTGAACTGTTGTAAAAACACTGCAGTTGTTAGCCCAGTTGGTAAACAAATCGTCTTTTTTACTGGAATATTATGACTCCCGCTGACCGGATTGACCCAAATAGCGAAGCTCGAAACAGTCGGCCATATTTACTTAAAAAATAATTCTAATTCGTGTGATTGGGGCCGCACGACAGCTAAGCTCATTCAACTGATCTTCACTGTAAAGGCAGTTGTCAGTGCGTAGGTTCCTGATTTTGTATGGAAAAAGAACATGTGTACTGATAGACATACGGAGCACAATGCAAACTGTTTAACAATAATCTGGTTCTGAACAACAAAAAAAGGAAAAATCACAGAAATAGATGGCTAATAAGATGACAGAACCGATGATGATGATGATGATCATGATGGTGACATTAGTAACGATAGCGGTGACGTAGCGACCGCAAATACGATGATGATGATGATGATGATGATGATGATGATGATGATGATGATGATGATGATGTTGAGGATGATGATGATAATGATGAGGATGATGATGATGATGATGATGGTTGGTGCAATAGATTTGTTAATGGCTACGATGATATCAAACTTTTGCGGGAAACGTTCAATGTTTTCTGTAGCACATTAAAGGGGATAACATTTGACTTCCCAATTGAGTTACAAGCACAATGCATTGTTTTACCTTGTTCCGACCACCATAATGATTATACATAATATCTGTGTAAAACGGTAAGCAAACGTACAACAGGTCCCTTTTTTAATTCCGAGAAAAACAAAAGAACAAACGAGCAACAATTTCTTTTTTCCGATAGAGTTTAAAATGGAACTTGGAATCCCTAAGGATTATTTTCAAACTTGAGATTTTATTTTTTTTCAATGATTTAAAGAGAGGGGGAACCCAATTAAAGTATCAAACGAACAGGTGAGCTTTTGGCTATTTGATTTCATATCAGTAGATTTAGAAGTTAACAATGTTTGAATCCCCGAAAAGGCACTCTTGAACGTTGATTAATTTGGGGACATGTACCCAGCTGGAGGGGAGGGGGGGTGTTCGTTAGGGCGTTCTTCATATATATCGTATTGTGTTAGAACGGGTTTTGTACTCTGAAAAAGACTAACATCTCCAAAACTACACTGCAGAGTACGCATTCGGTATGATCTGTCTTCTTTAGGAGAGTGACTGACTAATACTGTTCGACTCTTGTTGTTGTTGTTGTTGTTGTTGCTGCTGCTTTTACGTTTTCAAAGAAAAATGCCTGCTTCAAGAAAACTAAACCCTTCATAAAGTTTCTGAAAATAAATAGTCTTCATGCGATGAAAGGCAAATCAGTTTTGGCATAATCAGGATTGACAGCGCATTACACACACATTTGGTCATTGAGATTGAACACGTCAAAACTCAACAGGGGTCAACAAAAAGCGATCAAGATAAAAGAAACAACCACAAATATGTACTGCTCGAAACCTTGCATCAATGGCTTTGTAAATGCAGCAAGGATATTTCTATACAAGTGACTGGTCAATTATAATAATATTTGATAAAATGCGTCATCTCGTTGAGAATAGCCAGCCATGGCACAGATAGATAGGTGAAGCAAATTGGCATAAAACTTTTGTACCAAAATGACGTTCACTTACATTCCATAAGCATATCAGGGGACTGGAATGCATAAGGGAAAAGAAATGAAGGGGAAAAGAGAGAGGGGGGGGGGAGAAAGACAGAAAGGGAGAGGGAGAGGGAGAGGGAGAGGGAGAGGGAGAGAGAAAGAGAGAGAAAGAGAGAGAGAGAGAGAGAGAGAGAGAGAGAGAGAGAGAGAAAACACGTATTATTTCTGTAGACGCCGCTGTTGTAATAAGAAGTTCGATTCCAGTGAGGACAGACAATCGCATGTAGTACTGCAGTCTGTAAATTGGGATGCTGTCGCTAGCGGTAAAGTAGCAATATCACAATAATATAGTTATTGGCATTGTTATCTTTTAATTTTACAATGTTTTATTAAAGACAGCTTTTCTAAGTATGCTGTCCATTCTTAGATTCGTGTTGACATCATTTCACATTTAATATTAACTTAGGACATAATAAATCTCGTCACGAATAACAGGTCATGAATTTATTCAATAATACATCCACTCAATATAAGGCATTTAAATCTTCATAATATTATTATACAGCATAATAAGTATGTGTCATTCCATTGGACTGAACGTGCTTGTGTCACTGTCGTAATGCTTACACTAGTAAAAACGACATGATGTATAAGGGGAAACAACACTGAAAAAACATGTTATATTTTTGCTCAATAGTTATTCCCCTTGTATAAATAGTCGACCATTTCAAAGCCTGCTAAAGTCACTTCGCATTGATGCTCTGAATAATGGAAAGGGGAAACAGATTTCAGTACTGTTTTGCTTTGGATTTTACAAATACGAAGTTACTACAGTGACAAAATCAATTACGAAACATTAGAAGAATACCGCTATAATGCGACATTCGTAGAAAACAAATTAAGGCTTTATGATATGATATTTCATACTTGGCAAGCAGCATAATATTAAGGAATGAAGAAAAATAATTGAGCAAAAGAACGCGGAATGTAGCTCAAAAAATAAGAGAGACGATTTACTCTGTCAAAAAATTTCACATGAGTCTATTTATAAATCCTTATTATATAACATAGCCCTCAGTTTTATTCAGCTGCTGGTTATAAGCTACATACAGAATACAATACTGTCGTCTAGATTATCAAAAATATCAGAGACAAAAACCGTGATCTCTTTTAAAATGCTAACTATAGACCTGCACATAAAACGCATACGAAATCCAGAAAAACATTCTAAAAAGCACGTTGCTGCATTGCTCAATAAGTGAAGGCTAGTTTCATTAAACTGTAGGATAAGTAAATTCAAAGGATCAGCGTCTGTGGTTATGTAGGAGTAGTGTAGGGGTAAGGCTTTTTAAGATGTTCACAGAAGACGAAGCTTCGATTCCAAAATTTAGAAGTGTTTATCGAGAATCTTTGACTGCTTGCTGCGGTTTTGTATCCATCCAACTCAATCTCGAAAAGCAGTTTCGAGGCTTCCCAAACCCTAAATGACCTCTCGCATTATTAATAATGTTCCCGTCTATGCCTTACGGTGACCAGTGCATCCGTCGAAAAGAATAATTTTTATTCTAAAGTTCTAAAGCTAAATAAAAGAACTAAATGTAAAGCTGATTTGTGGATTCCTTCATAACCCAAAGAACTGATTCTGGCAGAGAAACTTTGGACACATCGTGAGCATTCAAAAGCTCAGCTTCCACTTGTGGATAAGTGCAGCCTGTTCGTTTTTCATTTGGTTTGGTCAAAATGTTTCAAAATGACATACGGTTCTACATTTCATAATCATATAATGAGACTAGAGTGCATGAGAAGAAAGAAAATGGGGGGGGGGGGGAGAGTTCCAGAGAGAGAGAGAGAAAGAGTGAAGAGAGAGAGAGAGAGAGAGAGAGAGAGAGAGAGAGAGAAAGAGTGAAGATAGAGAGATAGATAGATAGAGAGAGAGAGAGAGAGAGAGAGAGAGAGAGAGAGAGAGAGAGAAAGAGAGAGAGAGACGTATACTACTAAGTATAGCGTTAGTGTATTGATTTATTTGAGGTACTGTTCATTGTTATACCGAGATGTAGCATGACAAATTCACTGTATGTTTACTATTACTATTTACTGAAAAGATCTATCGCTATGTAGGAAAAGAATGTGAGTGTATGAAAAAGCACTTGACAAATCACCATAAATATGCAATGCAGTGTCAGTGTGTTGATATTCGCTCTATGTCGTGATGTCGGCGGTATAGTGTCAGTGTGGGAACATGTAGGAGGTACTTTGTCAGTGCGGGGAAAAATAGATCTGTCGTGACTAGCTCGCAAACTGATCTGAAATAGGTTAAGCAAAAAAGCCCAACCTTTCAACTTCCCCCAGAAAGTCATGTCGCTTTCGACTACGTAGCTATTCTCGAAACAAAGATCCTGAAGCAACAAGAAGAGTTCCAAGGGAGACATCCATGAGGCAATTTATAGAGTGACACGAACAAATAAATTATACTCATTTACCGTTAAATAAATTATACTTCTTACAAAACAACGTGGTCCTTGGGGTTTCAGAATGTCATGTCGTGCAGGATAAAACAGCCTACGTCAGTAACGTACACGCGTCGATAAACAACAGGCATAACTCATGATGTGTACCATTAAAAAACGTTACTCATAAAGACAAATAATCATGGTCTTTTCAGTTTGAAGAAAAATAATGACGATGAACACAAGTGAACCATACGCTTATGACTTGTTCGTGAAGGTATTTACAAAGTCCCAGGAGTTGCAATTCAACTGCAGTAAAACCAAGAGGCATATTATTATGTATAGCATGTTTAATCTCTCTGACAGATTGTGTGAATGTTTATCAGACCATGCCGCAAGTATCTATATTTTACTGACTGTTAAGGGGTACAGTTAACCGGCGTTTACTAAAAAAGAATTGTCATAAAACCGGAGAAGTGGATCCCAGCGTAAAATCATATTGCAGGTATATCTTTTATACATTCTTGCCTGTGGTACTCAAAACTCCATTGAGTCTCTCAACGAATGCAGGCTCAAATACCGTTCAAGTTGTGGGTAGAGGATTCTAATTTTAGTACAATGTAATGATTATGAACAATGCTCGTCTGTACCAAAGAGGTTATAGATAAATCTCTTTGTTCTGTATACATGTGTCAGTTGCCGATATGAGGCTGTTGTTTCTTTCATAAATACCAGTTGGTCACATTAGGCAGGCTTAAATACATTTCAGAGTGGTAAAAGTATATCCTTCTGGTGCCTTGTTGTTGTGAATTATTAACATATTTTACACATTCATAATATTATAATATAGGCTGTCTTTAATAAACTGTTATTCTGGCTGAGATGAAACCTACGTTCCCTTTTTAAAGTAGTTTGAAAAAAACACTTAATGATGGTAGAGGACTCTACTTTGGTTACAAAGTATTATTAATAGTTTTACACAGTTAGGTCTGTTGTATTTTGCTAGAACAGACTGTAGTGACTCAGATTAAAACCTGTTTTGGTAAAAAGAGGGAAGTAAATTTAGCATGCATCATGCTAAAAGAGCTTTTAAATTCAGTAACAACGTCATATGAGCAGTGAATGTTTATACACAGTTAGGTTAGGTGTATTAAACAGACAATAGTGATTGCGACTAAACCTTTTTTTGTAGCAAAAGGCAGGTGAAAACCCGATGCATTTGGGTAGAAGTTTCACATTCTTGTACAGTGTAATAGCGAAGTCACTGTTTTTCCAAGTCCTGTCTGTCTTTAATTAAAGAGACATATGTAGAAATTCCATGGCCGGAGACGTTCTCATGGTTTATGGTATACAACAATGTACACGTCTGTCTTCATGCAAACACGGCTGTCTTTAAACAAACACATCTGCCGTCTTTAAATAAACACATACTATGTCTGTAGAAGCTCTGTGTAATCTAAAGTCATCATGTTCTGTGGCATGTAACAGTGACTGTTTCTACACAAACACGTCTGTCTGTGGTAGCTCCATAGAGAAGTCCTCGTGGTCTATGGTGTAGCTGCCTGACGTGGTGGTCGTGTTGCCATCATCTTGTGTGTCAAGGCTATCGTTGAGAAAGTCGTGCACCGATCTGCTGGTCACGGACAGGCTCAAGGGGGCGTGGTCAGTGAACGACTTTGACCTACTGGCTGCTGCTGCGACTGCGGCAGCTCTCTGCTCTGCGTACGGGTCAGTGGGGTAGGAGAACGAGGGGGAGGTGGGGTCCTTGAAGAGCTGGGGGCAGCTGCTCATGCTCTGCTTGTAGGCGGGCGTCGGGTTAGAGTTAGGGTGAAGGCTGGAGGAACCAATCAGACCTCCTCCTACGTGATTAGGGTTAGGGTTGACATTTCTTGGGTTGTTCATCTGGTTTGCTAATCGATGATGTTTCGCACCGACACCGCTTCCTACAAACATGGGTTTTGTCGTGTTGCTGCGCGGTGCGAAGATAGAGGGAGGGGCTGATTGGGGTCCTGTCTCCTGCACGCCGATCGGGTTGTAGAGAGCTGTTGAGACCTCTCCATTCTCGTTACGAGAGATGGGGGGTTCTGAACACAGGCGGACCTCCCTCGCGAACTGAGGCGGGTGGACAAACTTCTCTCTCTCGGCAACCACCACGCCGTTAGGGTAGGAGCTGTTTCCTCCTCTACCTCTACCCCCGCTCTTGACCACTCCCATCTTCCCCGGTGACGACATATCCCCACCCAGTTTCTTTCCCCCTACATCACGACTCGGAGTGGAATTCTTACTAGACGTCGCAGGCCTCCCTTTACCTCGAGAGTACGGGTCCTCCTCCGAATACACTTGCTTCATGGATGTCTCTTGTTGGTTCCGACGTCCCAGCTCTGGGCTGGGGCTACACCGGATTCTGTGAACGGTCGCGACTTTCTCGTCCTGCCTCATCTTTTCCCTCCCTCCACCACCCAGGGACACTTCTTTCGGGTTAGTGTTATTAAATCTGGACGAAGGCAGAGTCCCCGCTGAGGGAGGGGGTGGGTACGGGTATTCTTTTCGCGGACCCGTATAGAAACCGCCACTCGTTCCGTTCCCGTCAGTTCCGGGGCCACCTGAGGGCGTGTGTTCTGGAGAATTGGTCTGGAAAGTCATGAGGAAGGGAGGCCTCTCGTAGCCCCCTGTGGCGGAGGTGGGCGAGGTGAAGGTTGAGGTGTTGCCCTGGTGCTTGGGAGTGTGGACACGTAGGATGGAGTGACTCGGGGAGACTAGGCAGCCGGAGTCATCTGAGAACAGACAAAGTCACGATAGAGTAAGAGTTTATAGTAAGAATTGATTACCACGCATAGTTGTCTTCGGGATATTCGATTTTAAAAAATACAATGGCAATACTATACAAAAAGGGCTAAGCAAAACCAAACATAAGAAGAGCAAATCAAAATGATGAAAGCACAAGATAAAACAAACTAGCTAGTACATGCAAACTCAGTATATTTTGTAGTCCTTTTTTTTTAGGGTGTTTGGTGTGCACGCTAGGTGGATCTTTTTAGCTTTTTCTCTAAAATTTGTGCATGCCTTTCTTTAACAAAAGCTAAATAAACGCATTTGTGACTATGTGTCTCTTTAAAACCAAAACAGATATCCAAGCGTTACTCTTTTCTCGCATGCAGGCGATTGGAAGGTACCAGTGCTAAGTCAAACTCCTTTGCTATTCTTTCATTGTATCTTCAATTGTTTTTGTCTGTTTTTCTTCTTCTTACCTGCACTAAATGAACCATTGTTGTATCGACGGACTTCTTTTTACTCAAACAGAAACCATTTAAATTATGTCGATGAAGCTCGAAACGTTTACGACCATTACAAATCATTTTTGAAGTATTCCTAGCCCTCGCCCCTCGTTTATTATCATTTTTGTTTCTTTTCAATTTCCTAATTGTTGTGCGTTAGTAGTTTCCTGGGCTCACTGGAGACATGGAAAATCGTTGCTCCAAATTACTCCTTCATGCCAGACATGTCAATCAATGTGCCTGTCTACGCCCATAAACTGGCAGATTATGAGTCATTATTGAGGAGCGAAAATAGACGGATGAGATCGCTGATCAAACAAAAGTGTTGTGTATTGGGGGCCACTGGATCATGACGCCCCATGCAAGCACGAGCACTTTTTGAGACGAGGTAGAACAGGGGATAGGGTTTATGATAAAGAAAATGGACTGGGTCAGAGAGAAAGAAAGAGAGAGAGAGAGAGAGAGAGAGAGAGAGAGAGAGAGAGAGAGAGAGAG